TAACATGTATATTCCTAATTAGATTATTAAGCTGCATTATGAGAATGTTTGTATTAAATTATTTTGCATAATTTTCCTTGCATCTACCCCTTTTCTACTGTGTTATGTTCATGCTTTCAACATACCTCTGGGTCCTAAGGCCAACAGTTTCAGTTGTGCTAAAGAAAGGGGAGGGGCTATGGGACATAAGGGTCCTGAAGTTTTCAGTGGGAGGGATATGATGTTGATGACTGGGGTTTCTTTCTTCTTCGTATTGGATCTATTTCAAATTATTTTCACACGTTTTCTAACAAAGCCTTCTTGCTTGTACTCTCTTCGGTGATTCCCAGCTAAAGTTGACTAACTGTACCAATTGGGAGAGTTACTCAGTAGCCTCCCATGGCCCCAATTAATGTAAAGGGCTAATCTTTATCACTAAGTGGCTACATAGAGACTTTTATTGTGTATACTAGTCACAGACCTAAGCTAGAACAAGTTAGGTAAAAGTCACCTGACCGCTGGACTGTTGTTATCTCGACTAGCACAGGCTAAAATCCGCTTAGGTCAAGACAGGTTATGAAACTGTGCCAATACAGTGTATTGACAGGTCAATACAATGCCTGTAGCTATTTACTAGTAATGGCAAAATCACTTACCGAGCTACTTAGTTGCCATCACATTCAAGTACTGACAAATAATTGTGACTGCAGGTCACTGGATAGTAGGAAGTCACCTTGCATGTATCAAGAAAGTGCCAGCTTCAGGAGCTGATGTGTTTTGAGACTGAATTCAGTTCTTGATTTTTCTAGTAACACTGAACATGTTTCTGGGTGACTTGAGTTGTTTTGAGATGGGTGAACTGTGAGTAGAAAATGAAAGCTGCCTTCCAGAATTGAGGTTGTCCTGAGACTGGTCTCCTTTGCCTTATTGCTTTTGTGGGTGCATAGTTCTTCTCCTGTAAGGCAGGTCTGGTGCCTGGATCTCTGTAATTCTGTGCTTGAGATCTCGTGTCTACACTGTTTCTGAAAAGCTCTAGAAAAACAGGATGCCTGAAAGCAGATATGATTGTCTTGGCCTTCCTGGGGAAACTTTTTTGTTTCTGCCTCAGACTCTAGACCTACTTTTACAAGATTCAGATCAGCATCTGAACATGAACCTTAGTGGCCTGTATTTTGTAGATTAGATTCTATTTGGCTTTCAAATTAAAATATACCTGCTTCTCTTTAGTAAGAGTTCTTAAAATTGGTAGCAGAAGTACATATGTTAACAGAATTTACAGAGCCAAGTAGGACAGTGTTTTCTAGGAATATATGGCCAGGTTCCTTCTGTCCTGTATTATTTCCGTAATCTCAAGTATAGAGACATCTCTGCCACTCATTGAATGTTGGCTATTAGTTTTATTCCACTGTCTCCACTGTTAGAGGACGCTTGTCTTCCCAACCTTGAGATTGCTTGGGGACATGGTTAAGGTTTTTCCTGTGTTACAGGTCCTGTTCTCTAATGGGATGTTTAGAGTCTAAGGCAATATGACTGCCATTTCATCTCAAGGAGTATGATGTCATTGGTGTCTGTCATCTCTGTTGAAAAAGAGTGAAAAAAGTGAAAAAGATTCAAGGCCTTGTAAGACTGATCCACGTCACACAGTTATCCTCCAGGTCCTCCAAATTCCCTTTTAACATAGGATTGCGTTTAACCCTAAATTCAAAAATTTCACATCAAGTATACTCTGTCTTTTCTTTAGACTAAGCTAGTAGGAGGAAAATAATAACTGGAAATACAGTAGAGAATTCTAGAGGGCAGTTTGTTGTATCAGATAGTAGACTGTATCAGGACCCGCTATCAATGCGTAAGATGTAGCAAAGAGGTACTCTATGGGATCTTGGGCAAGTGATGGTGGCAATCTTGAAGAGCGCCCTAACTCCAGCTTTCAGTAGAGTAATGATCTAGAGCTGTGGTGTGGCTTTTGCAAATACCACACCATTGCAGAGGCTTCCCTGTGTTTGCAACGCTTGACAGAGCAGGCGTCCAGTCATTATGCACCTAAGATACTATTCCAGGTAATGTGTGCTGATTGAGGAGTACTTGTATGATGTCACCGGTAGTGGAAGTACAATAGTGTAAAGACAATAACTAGAAGTTGAAAAAAAAATCACTGCTATTAATAGAAGTTCTTCAAAGTATATGTGCTTAGCAACAATTTCATAAACCTGTTTCCTTCTACCTGTCTAGGATTTTACAAAGAGGCAGATTTTTCCAGTTGAAAAGAAATAATGTAGTCAGGTTCATTCTGCCCTGTGCACCTCAAGTCTGTGGTGATGATGCAGGTCCAAGGTCAAGCCAGGAACAGAAGTCAGCAAGTCAGCAATCAGTCAGCTCTGCAGCTGATAACCAGAGCCAGGCATAGACCGTAGTGATGAGACTGGTCTGAGGTCAAGCCAGGGAGTCAGTCTGTGGAGCAGGGTCTGGATCAGCAGGGCCTGTGACTAGACATAAGCATGGCTGTGATGCCAGTGTAGCTCAGGTGGGACCAAGTGCTGGAGTCTCAGTTTAAAAGCAGCTGGGAAGGGAAGGGAGGGAGCCACCCTGACTGAGGCCTTCCTGCAGGGCTGCCTGGCAGCCTCTTCCCAATGTCCTCAGTGGGAAGGGAGCAGCCTGCAACTGCTCTGCCTCCAAGTTGATTGTGAGCCCCAGCAGCCAAATCTCCAGGAGGGGAGATGCTCTTGGGACCCTTACGCATCTGGTTTTGAGTGTGTGTGCGCATATAGTACCCATTTGCTATGACTGCTTACACAAACAATATAACTTGACCTTCCAGTTATGGATACATTCTGCTTCCTTTTTTCTTTGTTTATTTCCTTTCCTCCTCTTCTCATCTCTTACAAAACTTAATTTAGAAAGAGTAGAAGGGGACAGTTGATCAGCATTACGGAATCTGTTAACCATAGCATACCTGGTTATGGAATGGGTATCTCAAAGACCAAATACAAAGTAGTTTTTCCTATAGTGTTTCTGAAAGATGGGGCTGGAGCATTCTGCTGTGTGTTATGACGAATGTGCTGGGGTACCTGAAAATCGTACAGACCAGAAAAGAAACGGGGAGTAGAGATCTTATTTCTGTTTTTCTTTCTGTAATGGTTTATCATCTAGCCTCTCTAACCAAAATTAAGGTCTTTGCATGCAAAACACTGCATGTATATTTAAAAAAAAATAAAAAATAAAAATCTCAGTTCTCCATAGCCTTGTGCTATGAACAAAGTAGGCAGACATTGAACACCATGTAACAGAGGAACTAACCCTTTGGATACAATGTCTGAGACTTTTTTCCCTCTTTCCTTAAATAAGGTGTACGTATGTTAGAAAAAAATTTATTGAATAATGTTAATGTAACAAATTTTTTGAAAGTCATTTCCCTACCATATGAGGAAGAGTGAGGCTGTTTATTTTTTCTTTTTGCATTTGATACATTTCAGAACTCTTTTGATTTCTTTTTCTTTTTTTTTTAAAGTTTTGGGTTTTTTTGGGGGGGGGATTGCACTGATGATGGAATGGTGAGTATTTGTGATTTCAAAAAGTAATGTTCAGAATATAATGTCTGGACTCATGAAACCCAGAAAACAAAGCTTATTATATTACAAGGACAAAATCTTAGATGTACTTTTTCACTTCTGAAGACTCTGTTTTGAACTCTTGAACTGTAGACGCCTTCTCTAGTCCGGAAGGTAGAAGCTCTGTGCTTGGTGCTGGGAGAGCTATATTGAGCCAAGTATTTTCTGGCCGTCTGACTAAATTGAGACAATCCTTCTCTGTTACCATGTTGAATATCAGTTGAGGACTGGTGCAGGTTCTGTCCTCACAGAAAACAAGGGTAGCTTTTTTCCCAGAATTCTTTGACTCTTCCTTGTCTTCTCCTTTGGATGATTTTAGTTCATTTTGAAGATATACAAAATATACTAATCAGAAGACTATTTTTTTTTTCCTTCAGATGTATTTTGTAGCTGTGCTGGCTGTAGTATATCTGAGAAGTGTGTGGATTTGCTGGCGTTCTCAGAGCACAAAATACTATATTAAACATTTAACCACTTACTGCAGCATGAATAGTTTCTTCACTGAGATAGGTACATGCACACATTTTTATCTATATATCAGTGAGAATACTTAATAATTAAAAAACAAAAGTGCAACCTACCTACCACATTCTGGTGTAATTAGAAAATCCCATAGGGTATATCTGGTTAATTGTTGGGTAGCTTTACTGGTTTCACAGCCTTCTTGAGCTGCTTAGCTCCCTGCAGCTCTTCACATTGTTGGCTGGCCTGCCAGCTACCTTCCTGTTTGGCTGACTTTCTAGCTGGAAAATTGGCAGACTTCTGTAACTAGGGACTTGAGATCTTAGGAGATCCATATACACAGGCTGTCTACCAGATAAGCTATTGAAAAACTAGATTGTATCTGGGCAAACAGCAGGCTATAGACCAGGGCAACCACTGTTGGTAAGTGTTTCTAAAATGAAATATTTAAGAATAATTAGACTTTGGAAAGGAGGAATTCAAGATCTGGACTTTGTTCCAATTAGATTTCATGTCCAGCTGTAATATATACTCTATTTTATTCTCTGAAAGAAAAATTTTGTTCAGAATTCTTTTTAGTTTTTTTTAAATCTTTTGAACAGATATCAATTCTGAAAAAAAAAAAAACAAAGCAGAAATAATTGAATATGCTTTTCTTTTTCCAGTGGTATTAGCAACACTAGCAATTTTTATTTGCAGCAATTTATTGCATGTAAATGCAATACTTTCATTAGCAAAATTATAGGTTAAAAAGTACCATTCTACAAACTGTTTAAAAGCTATTGTAATGATTAATGCAGAATTTGTGCAGTCACATTCATAAGAATATATGGTGTCATATTTACATCATAAAAACATGTTAAATTGTCAAAGTAACTTTCAGAATGCCTATTTTTTTTATTTAGCAGAAAACTAGAATGTCTTTAGTTAATTAACATTGTTTCGTATTTGTAGGTAATATATGCTTTGAACACTAAAAATGATGAGCATGAAGCTGCCATCCAAGCCCTTAAGGATGCTCATGAAGAAGAAATTCAACAAATTCTTGCAGAAACGAGAGAGAAGATCTTGCAGTATAAAAGTAAAGTAGCGGAAGAAATGGATCTTAAGAGAAAGATCCAGGTTTTAGAAGAGTCGCTGGAAGATCATAAAAAGATGAAACATCAGGCCTTGACAGAATTTGAAGCTTATAAGGATAGAGTTGAAGACATGCAGCTTTGTGCAGAAGCTCAGCATGTCCAACGTGTAGTGACCATGTCAAGAGAAGTAGAAGAGATTAGAAAGAAATTTGAGGAAAGACTACGAAGTTTCATACAGTTGCAAGTGCAGTATGAGAAGGATAAGCGTTCAGCTCTGGAAGACTTGAGAGCTGCACATAGGCTTGAGATTCAGGAGCTTCTGAAGACTCAGCAGAGTCAGAATGCTACGTTAAGTAAGGGGCAAGAAAAGCTAGAGGAACTGCATAGACTGGAGCTGGAAGATTTAAACAGTAAAGTTGAAGAGTTAAGACTAGAAAGAAAAAAACTCATTGAGGACTATGAAAGCAAACTCAGCAAAGCTCAATCCTTTTATGAACATGAACTTGATTCTTTGAAAAGATCTCAGCTTTTTACAGCTGAAAGTCTGCATGCTTGCAAAGAAAAAGAAGTGGAGCTAAGAAAAGAATTTCAAAACCAGGAAAGTATTTTACGGAAGAATCTGGGAAAGCTTAAAACTGAATTGCAAATGGTCCAAGATGAAGCTGCAAGTCTACGGGAAAAATGCCAAAAACTTCAGATAGCTCTTGGTACAGCCGAAAACAACGTACAGGTGAGACTGATGATAAGTTATTCCCAAGACTCACTGTGATTTTTTTCTTTACCTTCAAAGGCTAGCTTTCTGCAAGGCTGATAGCCTAAAGTGATTTCAACATGCGAACTTTAATCTTCTGTCACTCCTACTTGGTTATCATCCACTTTTTAGTTACTTAGTTGGGCAATTCTTTGGTATGCCCAGACTGGATTCACGTGTCTTTGTATTCCATTAGAATCTAGAAGGTGCTAGTCAAGGTTTTGATCCCCTTGCTCAGGGGAGGTCTCCTTCCGTTCAGCTGAATATGAATGGAACTTGGTTGTTCCAGTCATACTACCCAATCTATAGTCAATAGAATATTCAAACCTATGTCACCAACGAGGTAACGGACAAAAAGTCCTGAGCAATGCCTTTGCATCAGGTGTCCGCATAAATTCATCTCAAAAAAGAAAAAAGATTCATGGGGAATGAGGTTGTTGGTGATTGGTACCATTTGAGATGTTATGCTCGTAAACTCAAGCAGTTGATAGAAAGTTGAGAAGCCACTTATCTAAACTGTACAGTTTATTGCAGAAATCTGTACGTGACAGGAATGTCACACAAGTGAAAATTTAAACACTTTTTTTAAATGTTTGCCTGGCTTACCAGGCCAGTTATTGCCATCCTGTTGCGGCAGTTTTGTTTGTAGAGGTCATTAGGGGCTGCTTTGCTCATACATGCTGGATATTATTAGGAAAAGTAAATTTATGGGAGGCAAAAAAAAAAAAAAAGGAGACAACCTTGTCAATATTTTAACCTTTTTTTAATACAAATTTTAAATTAAGGTTTCACAAGCAGTAACTGAGACTCTTTTCATTTTCATTGTTATGTTCAGGGTTGTTCGTAATGCTGAAGTTTCAAAGTCCTGTCCTGTCCTTAAAGAAGGATAGGACATCCCAGAAATGCAAAAACTTCCTGCCCCACCCACTTGACCAAAAAAATAGTGCTGGATATGCTGGGCCTGAGGGAAATTCTGTGAAATACTGCTTTCCTTTTGGTAGCTTTGTTGAGGACTCAAGATCAGTTATTTCCGTGGAGGAGCTTAAGTATCTTTTCTTTTGCACTTGTAATAGCTCTCAAATGACAAAGCCAGAAGTACCATAATTATGATAGCTATAGAAATTTTTGAAATATCCAGTGTTTTATTGCATATTGCTGAGGTGGACCATCATCTTATCTTGTTTACAGTCTGATTCCAGCCCACCTTCTGGACTATCCTGTGTTCTTCTTTTACCTAGGTTACAGGCTATAGGCAAAGAAGACAGCCTTCTTTATGTATCAGATTTTGAATTCAGAAGCCCTTCTCCCAGTTTTCAAAGGGACCTTCCCCAACTCCATTTCCAGCTCTGATTGATTAAATAAGCAGAGCTCTTGCCTTTCAGTTGACTACATTGAGGAGGCAGGTTTCTGGGATGCTGTGGGGAAAAAGAGGAAACCCACCATATCTCAAACATTCATGCAGTAAAGGAGAGAGCTCCTTTTGGCTCTAAAAAAGAAGAAAAGCCTAGTATAGTATTCACAACAGATTATAAAGTCAGGTCCTATTCTGATCATCAGGGACAGGATGATGAAAGAGGTACTATCACCACTCTTGGTGCTCATGTTATGCTACACTTCCTTTTCAGTGTTTTCCTCAGTTCTTTTTTTCTTCTTCCCCCTCCCTCTTAGTTTCTGGAAGGACCATTTGCTCTTTCTGTAACTTGAATGATGAGAGATCTAGTTTTCCTTTTAAAAGAGAACACACGTTCCCTTTCTCTTCCTGGATGACTGGGAATACACTATCATTACATTACCACAGAGCTCCTATTGTGAATCAGTGCAGGTGACTTAAATTAAATTTTTAATATGTTTTTAACTAATTGCCTAGCTCTCATTTTATATATCTCCATGTGAAGCCTGATTGTAGTAAACACAGCTGCAGTTAAGGACAGTGAAAACCACTGTGAACATATAATATGTTTTTCAATGTATGGAATTCTGAGAAATCAGATCCTAAGTTTCTCAAATTATTCCTCAAAGTCTATGAACTGTGTTACATTTTTTTCATGTTACCTTCATATACCTTTTTATATATTGTCGCGCTTATTCACACTCTTCATGAATGCATCTTTATCATGCTATATATCCAGTATGTTGTAATGTTTCAGCAATGCTTTTGGAAAAATACGATATAGAAAATGAATATCATGGTGATGATATGAAGTTTCAGGGTCTCTTCTGTACATTTTAACTTAAAGCTTGTTTAAATTTAAACATAATTCTGTAAAATGTTAATGTGCATTATATTATGCTTCCTTAGGTTCTTCAAAAACAACTAGATGATGTGAAGGAGGAGGAGATGTCATTGTTAAGCAAACACAAAGAAGTGGAAAGTGAGCTAGCAGCTGCTAGGGAACGCTTACAGCAGCAGGCCACTGATCTTGTTCTCAAAGCCAGTATGTATGTCAGTAACTTAATCTGAAAATGAGCTGCATCTATTAATTCACAAAATTACTGGTATCTCCTTTTGCTGTTAAGTTTGTGCATATTTAGAGTGCCTGAGAAGTGTTTAGTACTGTGCATAGAAGTTTCTGACAAGCTTTTTAACTCTTTTGATATTGCGTGCATGTAAGATTCTTTTATGTGTGCTTATTTGTACTAGTGTTCTGCTTCAGATGCCCTGTGCTGCATATCATGTTCTCAGTCCTGGAAATTTCATTCCTTAACTCTACTTAAATATGCAGTATGCTTCTACCCTACTCTGTTTATTCTCTACGTTATCATTATTTAGGTTGAAACATATGCTTCCTGTTCCTCTGTCCTTTTTCAGTTGCCTTTTAGCTTGAAGGAAGAGCTTTGTTTCTCTGCTTAGAATGCAAGTTTTTTTCTTTACTCTTACTTTCAAAATACTTTCAGCTTATCGGTTAGTAAATTGTTACGGTTTTCTTTATAGCTCTTTTCCTGACATCTCTATGCTTTTTGGCATGTGGAAAAGCATAGGAAATGATATAAAAATTGCTTGTAGACATGCATTTTTTTACTGACTTAGTGAGGTTCTTTTTTTTTTTTTTTAACCTCATTGGTCTTGTCTGTATAGTAAACTAAGCAGTGGTAGGACTTGGGCTATAGTAGTAGAACTCAGTAAACTATACTGTAGGTAGAACTGTAGACTATAAATAGTCCTTTGGTCCTGTTCAGCTAGACCTATCACAGAAATAGCTGATTATTTTCCAGAAGAAAGCACAAGCTGGGGACTCTTCCCAAAAGTCAGTTTGGATGAGGTCGCCTTTCTTTGAAGGCTGGAATGTTGCCAGATTGTTCCAGTTGGCCTTAGGGTCAGAAAACACTCCCTGGCATTAACTTGCTAATATTAATGTAGTTTACTGTCGTATATGGCAGCCCTCAAACTCTGTATGTGAATGTGGCCTGTCTCAAGGCTTTATTTCTGTCCCTCAAAAAATGAAGCAGTCCCTACAGATGAACTGAGTGTGTCTGCTGCCTCGAAGAACTTCATGCTTAGGAAGGGTGGAATATATGAGCTGACTAAGGTAAGGATTAGAAATAGTCTATGCTGTGTGTATGGATATAGAGGGTGAGCTAGGATCCAAGACTGCAAGTCCTACTGGATGCGAATAGCTAAAAGGAATGTGCTTCCTGTAAAGACAGCTCATCAGGGATCTCAGGTATTAATCTGACCTTCCACTAAACCAACATCTGAGTTACTCATCATACAATTTTCAGCTGAGAGCCTCTGAAAAACCTGTGCTCATCCACTCCTTCACCTGTTTCTTTTCCTAGGGAGAAAAATCGGAATATATCAGCACCCAGCCCCATATTTAGGGGAAACAAACTTAAGTATCCAGTCCATTTTTCAGTATTATTAATGGCATGAAGTCAACCAAACTATCAGTCCAGCCCTGGTCTCCTCTGGCACTAAGCTCTACAGCTTTAGCAGAAATTCACTGTGTCCACACTGTTGGCTGAGCTCAGTGGCACTGTCAATGGTACATCTTTGCTTTGCTTTGCATCATTGTGCAGCAAGAGCCAAGAGCCTTGTTTTTAGTAGTGCCACGAAGCCATTATCATGTGAGATAATCAGTTACCTGCCTGTTCATAAACTGCTTCTGACGTCAGCTCACACCTGGGAGTCAAAAAACCTGCCCTAGAGAAGTTTGATTCTCATAGTTAACAGTCATAGAAAAAAATTACTGGAAGTTTTAAACATTGCATGCCATGCAATGCGGTAAAGAACACTCTACTATGCCTCTTATGGAAAGCTAATGTATTCCTCTTGCATTCATCCTGAGATTTCAAACTTAAGAGTTTGCTCTTTCTTGCCAAGACAAAAGCTTTAAATTAGTGTGTATCTGTGTTTACAATAAAATACACGTGTGCATACTTCCTGAGGAACTTGAAATTCTTGTATGGTTATTCTTGTTCTATACTAAAATCTGAACTTGCAAACATGTTTTTTATAAATGGCTGAGGTCTTCAGAAGTGGTCGTTTTTGAAATGTTAAGGAAGTTAGACCTATCACTTATCTAAGTTTTATCTCTTCAGTTTTTAATTTTCTCAAAGACAACAATAAAATGATTCTTTGTATTGAGCCCTGAAAAATTCAATTAGAGGTGCACTGTTTATGAAAATAAACACTAACTTTGAAATATTTTTAATGGCAAAACTCAAAACCTGTTCTGCCAGTTACATCCACCCATGATTTTTCTTATAGACTTCCATAGTAAGAATTAGGTGATACCCAGCCAAATGCACTTTTCTATGAAAAGCTAATTTGTGATGAAATCTCATCTAGAAATCGTTATTTCCTCTGTGAAGCTGTTGATGATGTGCATCTGACTAGTTTGGGGGGCTTTCTAAAGGATCCGCTAATTTCCTGATTTTTCTATAACGAAGACAGAAGCCATGGGAAATGCATCCCCTTGTGTTTTCCTTTATCGCCTAGGTATAGTGGATGGACTCCATGGCTTTGGACCTGAGCGTCAAAATGGTGTCTTCTGTATCACTTCTGGAGTACTGACTGTGTTTGTTTCCTGTTAAAGTTCTCAAGTATGAGTGTCTGTCTTACTCCCATTTTTTCCAGAGCTGCTTTAATTGCTCTTTTCAGGACTGTTGCACTGGATGTGCTGGTGACACAGCTCTGTTTGAACTTTCCTCATAGCAGTCCTTGTAGAAATATTTTTGTATATCCCACTATCCTTCACATCAAAATATCCACAGACAACAAAGGCTATGAAGGTTTCCTCTTGGACTCTTTCTTTGTTTTAACTATAGGTAGAAATGAATCAGGAACTACAGTAGTTCTGTCTTGTAAGAAACACTGACACCAAGTTCACTTCCTTAGCAAGTCTCTAAATTTAAAAGAAAAGTCCTTTTATTAAAACTCATATCATCTGTCACTTTGAAGTTTGCAGGCTGAAATAAAACAGAAATAAAAAGGTAATTCCCAGAAGCTGTGACTACAACAATAAACTTGCTCTGAATGAGTAATACTGATTCAGAGAAATCTCTTTAATTCTTATCTGACTACTCTCTCTGTGTGAAACTGTTAAGGATCTCTGTACAATCCTTGAAAGTCTGTTTAACCACCACTTCATTTTTTAATATGTTAATTTGTAAAAGGCGTGTTTCAAAGACGCATATAATCAAAGGTCATACAATTTATGAAAGGGCCAGTGAGATTGTTCTGTTAAAAGAACCCATTCCAATGTGGAATGCCAGCTGAGCTAAGGCCTAGGCCGTGTCTTTCAGTCAAACCAATCTAACAGCCTTTGTATCCTCTTTTCCAAAGTAGGCTTCTATGCCTTCTTAAACCTTTCCCAAAATAGCAGAAGTGTCACTGTGCTAGTCAGTGCACTACCTACTGCCCTAGTAGGATTCTTTTCCAGAATTCATATATCAATTAAGCAAAACAGGACAAAAATTTCAGAAGTCGTGAGCCTTTTTTACATTGGAGATGATAACAGTGAAGGACATGTTACATTGTCTGGATTGGTAGATTTTTATATAAAGATACTACAGGCAAGCCTATGTCCTGGAAGGATTTATAACGTACTTTACTACAGAGAGAATGATTTCTTTTGTAACTTTTGGTCATAGCCTCATAGCAGAACAGACAAACAAATGTAATCCAATAACAGTTTTGTGGAGCTTCAGCTCTTACACCTAGCATGCTAGTTAAATTCCTAGTTTGATAAAACACATCTTTACCCTGTTAAGATTCAGTGTTCTACTTTCTGTTGCACATTTTATCCTGTGATAAAAATGCACAGTAGCTATCCAAAAAGCTTCAAAAATATTATTTTAGCAGGGATGAGTTCTTCAAAATAGACTATGCTGTTCCTGTTCTTGGCTATCTCTGCTTTCTCTTGGAGACCAATTTGCAACTGCGAGCAAGAAAAATTAAAAAAAAAAAAGAAACTAAAGGAGCCTCAGCACCAAGCCCTCTACTATTTCTGAATGTTTTGCAGTAAAATTGAAGAAGGGGGAAGTAGAGGGGGTAAGCATTCCAGTGAGGATGATGAAGATCCATACGTAAGTTTCTGGGGACTTCTGGAAATATAGCTTTAGCAAAGTATTAATGTGTACTTTGTTTCACATCACTTCAATTATGAGAGACTAATGCTGTGAGGTTTTAAAGAGTTATGTTGTTTTTAGGTCACATTGGAATGCTTCAGGCTACTCAAATGACTCAAGAAGTTACAATCAGAGATTTGGAATCAGAAAAGTCTAGACTGAAAGAAAAACTATCCCAACTGGAAGAGGAAAGAAATTTACTGCAAAGCAAAACACAGAGCCTGGATGAGCGACAAAGGCAGCAGATTTTGGCATTGGAGAAGGTTAAACAACTTACTGGCTTTAAATGAGTAAAAACAGAAGATGTAGAATTCTAAGTAGATATTTGATTTTTTTTTTTTTTAAATCTGAATTGACTGGACTAGGAACAGTGGTAGTATATTCTGAATGTACCTCATGTAGCATCATAGAATGACTAATGTAGCCTGTGTATGGCAGGTCTGATGTTATCTGTTTTAACTAAAGTGAAGGCAGAGAGAAGACAGGTTAGGTGTTGCTCAAACTATTTGAGGCATCCTTCAAACAATTTCATTTAAATTATGACATTGTGCTTAGATGCCTAGTATCTGAAGTGTCTCAGTAAGAAGAAAAGTGAAATGGTCAAAAAAATGAAAAAGCAATATTGTGAAAACACACAACATATTTGAAAATGAGGAACTTAAATTTTTTTGTAGACTTGGTAACTGTTGGCTATTTCCACAGAGAAAATAGAGCAAAAGATTGATTTTAATAATAGATGTAATATCTAATGCACGAATATACTACTTTTCTGATTGTTAAATGATTTAGTCAGATAAATTGGGCAACACTAAGCATATATTTTATATGAGGGTTAATATTTGTAGACATGTATTATCAGTAAACTTTCTGTATTTTTTCCTCTTACTGGAGTGGAGTTTGTCTTTTACCCTTTGTTAGAAAAAATTTGGATCTGAGATAAAAGGTTAGAAAAATTATTTTACCTGTTACTTATAGAAAGTAAATGAAGCAAGGGAGACGCAACGAGAGTATTATGAGAAGGAGCTGGTAAAATTGCAGGCGAGACTGGAAGGAGAGGCTGCACAGTTAAAGGAGGCTCATTCTAAGACCTTAGAAGAATTGGCGTGGAAACACCATACTGCAATAGAGGCTGCTCACACTAGTGCTAACAAGGATAAGAAAAAACTGCAGATGGTAGGTGTTTGTTTTTTTTTTTTCCCCCCTGAATAATAGAATATATTCCAGAAAGAAAATGTTATAATTTGAACCTTGTACTGGATAGTTTTTGTTGCATAGCAAGTTTCATTTGGACCTATCGGCAACTCTGCTGAGCCTTCGTGAAGGAACTGTAAGATACACCCTGCTTGAATTCAGTAATGGCTGAGGAAAAAAAGAATGTTTGCACTCTTACTTGCCTGCAAATAAGTGAGAGAGAGGAGATTCTCAAACTCAATACCACTTTCTTTGCATTGAAGACTACTACTTTTGAGCTTAGTAGGTGTATTTTACCAATCTTTGTGACCCATATTCAGAATGGTGATTTTATTGCTCAAAGTCCCAGTTCTTCTGAGGGAGCTGAAAGATTGTTACTCTAATATTTATCTAAAATTTTCATAAATGCTTCAGATGTACAGAAAGGTAGTATTTTAGTACTAGACTTTATGCATACTCAGGAGGAGGTAACTGCTGTACATAACTTGTATTGTAAAACTATGCAACTGTGTGTCAGCTATAAATTTACCTTTAAGTGGAATCTTGATACCAGTAGGCTTTCTTGTTTCATGAAGTTGGCCTTTTCTTTGTTGGGATAAATGAGAAGACCAATTTTGGAATGTTATTTCCTATTCTGATTGTATATATATTATACACAAATTCTGCTGCATACAGTAGATACAGGGTAAGTACTAATTGTTTAATTTATGCTTTTATTATGCTCCTCTGGTGGATGTCCCCTTGAAAATATTAAGAAATTATTGATATAATAATATTAAAAAATGTTAAAATATAAATATAAAAATATTAAGAAATATTGAAATATATTAAGAAATGTACTCATAGCCAGTGATACACATCTTAGACTGATTTTTTTAATTTTTATTTTACTTTTATTTTATTTTATTTTGCTTTTTATTTAGAATAAATCCCAAACAGTTTTTCATGTCTTTCAGGAGTAAAAATAGCTCTTAGAGAAAACAATGGAAAAATTAGATTTTTTTGTGTGTGTGTGACTTTTAATGTACTTGCTATAATAACAGTGTCTCTTTAAGGGTTTCTGGGAATATTTTTCTTTCAACTCTCAGCCATTATGTTCTTTGGCTAAAATGGGCAATTATTTTCACAAGTAGCAGTCTGTTCTCTCTCTCTTTTTCAACTTTTGTTTTGCTAAATTAAGCTACTTTGCCAGCTATAGTATCCTTTCTTTCCTGAGTACCACATGCTCCCCACCTACTCCCAACTTGATCTGCAATTAGCCATTTCAGAGGTTTTTTTCATATCTCTCTCTGTTCTAGTAAATTGTGAATATCTCTGAACTTGCTCAGGCGTTGCGAAAAGTCTTACTTCTGGAACTGAGCATGTAGTACTTTACCCAGTTTTTACAGAAAATGATACATACTTGAATTTAGATGAAACATGTATGAGATATACATGTATGAGATATACTTCAACTTTCTACCTGAAAGTTCCAAACCATTTCAGAACAATAATGTTATATTTTGCAAACAAAATATTTCATATGTGAACTTTTATATTATATACTTTATTTTTCTTTCTCCTTAGAAGAATTAAGCTAAATTTCAGTGAAATCAACACAAGTTTGCAAAACTTTTAAACTTTCTGTGGAATTACCTTTTCTTACAGAAGTGGTCTGTTGAGGTTTTAACCTCCATTTGTTCAGCTCTTCCTATAAAATCCCTTATGGTACCCAGTAGGTGAAGAATACTGATCTATGTACGCTCTTTTTAGTGATAATGTTCTGTTGATTCATTTAAGCTTCTTGATCCTATCTTTTCTTTCAATTGAGTGCATGTGCATTACTTGTTCAATAGAGCAGTGCTAGTGAGGAAGTGACTTTCCTCTCTTACTCAAAAAGACATGCATGCACTTAGCATAAGGTCTTAGCTCCTAGGAAGGAGATAAAGTTCAGTTTTGTTCTAACAAAAGAATTTATTGCAAACTCTAGGCACATTTTTCTTCCTAGACTTTGTAATTCTAGAACTACTTTGTCTCATGAATTATTTCTATTATTGTTATGCCGTGGTTGATTTATTATCTGCTGCAATCTCAGAAAAAATACTTGCTAATGCAGGTGACAGGAGAAAAACAATAAAAAGAGCCAGCCCCACCGCTCCCCACGAAACAAACGAACAAAAAAACCAAACCTCTCATACTACCCAGCACTGTCTGCACAGACCTTAGAATCTTAAAAGATGCTTCTTCAAAGTCACTGGAACCTGGATCAAGACTATGTTTTACTAATGGGATTGTGTAAATCCTGTGTAACTGGAGCCTTTTATGGTTATCAATAAACAAACACTTTATCATCCATGATATTTTGTGGTGACAGTAAATTTATCATTGTAATTATTAAAGACCAAGTAAATGCATAGTGCTTAGAGAAAACCCAGACATTTCTCTAGGTAGAAAAGCATTATATTTAGGCAACTTCCACCTTTGAGCTTTTTACTTTGATGCATGGCTGTTTTTTACTTTACTTCTTGAGCTTTCATAAAAGTAACATCAAGTTACTATAGTAACTTGATTCATATTTTAAAAATCAAATGCATGAGCAGAAGAGGAAAGAAAAGCATGGCAATTGTTCATAACTTTACTTTGTCGTTTTTGGACCGATGCCTACATGTTCTCATTCCTAGTCTTTACTTTTTTACAAAAGAAGACTTGTCCATTTCTGTTCAACATCACACAGAATCACAGAATGGTTGAGGTTGGAAGGGACCTCTGGAGATCATCTAGTCCAACCTCCCTCCTCAAGCAGGGTCCTCTAGAGCATATTGCCCAGGATCACGTCCAGATGGGTTTTGAATATCTCCAGGGAAGGAGACTCCACCACCTCTCTGGGCAACTGTGCCAGTGTTCTGTCACCTTCACAGCAAAGGAGTTTTTCCTCAGGTTCAGATGGAACTTCCTGTGTTTCAGTTTGTGCCCGTTGCCTCTTGTCCTGTTGCTGGGCACCACGGAGAAGAGGCTG